ATATAATCAAACATTATGAGACAAACTACAAAATGACATGAACAAGTCATAGCTAGAGCCAATTCAGAAGAACACGTACACTATTAAAATGGGTTTATTGAATTAAATTAATTGATTAATAACAATCCTTCCAACATACTTCGTACCTCATGTTAGTTAACTTTGAAATCAGTGTAATTGACCACTTATATTATTGACAGATTAGACTATGAGATTAGCCAAATTAGATTATTATATGATCAGAGCTAATGTTTCTCCTTTGGTCGGACAATTGTTGTTAATTGACAAAAGACAACGAACACTAGTAAGTACTAAGTTTGTAGTAATTACAGTAGTAATTAGTGAATTAGAGTACTAATACAATTATATAAGCTAAGCTTTCAATTATGAAGAGAAAGTAGTAAGTAGTGAGTAGTAATTAGTAATTAGTGAATTGGAGCACTAATACTAAGATGTTAGCTAAGCTTTGAATTATGAAGACAAATCACATAATCTTCATATATTAACATATAAGTGTGGTGGGTAAACCTAATTATTACAACTATAATATCTTTCTCCAATAACTATCAGAAATAGCTGGTAAGTTACCACTAATAAGGATGCAAGTGACCTCAAAGTACAATTTTGTGTGTAGCAAAAGTATTATGGAAAGTAATTAGTGGTTAATCTTCTTGATTTATAAGCAAAGGTGTAGTCTTTTTAATTATCATGATCTAACCATTTGCCACTTACTATTATTGTTTCATTGTTCCAAACTCGATCTCAAATTTAAGAATAAAAATTGATTTTACATAAAAACCATTTTAATTAGTTAGGGCTTGTTTGGCATTGTTTTTTGTTTTCGATTTCTAGTCTTTTTAAAATTAAAAATAGGAAACAAGAAACAAGAAAAAGGTGTTTCCACTTTTCAAAAATTTCATGATTTTAATAAGTTTGATTATTTTTTTATTCATTATGTGACATATATCATATGATTTAGAAAAATAAAAAACCAAAAAACAGAAAACCACAGTGATGTGAAACGAACTCTAAAGTAATTAATTTTCTAATAAACAAAATCTTGTTTGGTAACTATAGCTGGTATATAATGTACCCCTATCATATTCACAAGTTAGACTTACTTCTCAAAAGTTGATTACATCATTTTAGTCCATCTCCACTACTCTATCCATTAATTAAAGAATGTTTATGCATCAATTAATTCGGTAATATTTTTTTTGCTACAAACTTTGACCCATTGCTTAAAAAACAATAAATTAATCATAAAAACAATATATATATGATGGTCAAAGCTAAGTTTAATACAAAGATTAAACGGTAAGCACTCATTGTTAAGCCAGTGGAGTTGTTGACTTGTTGATCTCTCACTTTCATCTTAATTCTCACTTTAAGGTTTAATGCCAAGTATAAAATAGGGAATTTTGATTATTTCCCAACATCCCCTTAAGAATTGGGGCAAGATTAGGAGGACTAGTTATTGCTATTTTTAATTCATTTTTTTGGATCTCATCTTTATCAAGAGTACGTCTAGATCTCTTTTTTAATTTCTTTGGTTACAAACTTTCTTTGATAGATTTTGTTAAGATTTTTGGTATACATGTCTTTTAGCATTGTGGACACACATGTGCATAGAGGTGTTTTTACATTATTCCAATCAGGGTTTGGTTTAGTGGAGGAAAGATTAAATCTCACAACTTAATTTAATTTTTATTTATGGGAGCCTAGACGTCTAGTTGATCCGTGTGACATGTTAACATGCCGATATGATTTTTTTTGAGAGATTGATCGATGTTATAAATTACGATCAAAGGATTTTGGGAGCTGCTTTGCATATGATATATATAACATAATTTATTAGACCCGACTCTACATAATTCTTACATTCTATTCCTTACATGCAATTCAGGTCAATTAGAACTTTGAAAGTGTTGGGGAAAGATAAATGTAAGATGAATGACTCAACTGGATGTGACTCTCACAATTTTTACATTACATCCTTAGAAGTCGAATCCTTTTAAAACAAGCCGAAAATATAAGATTAAGAAATATCACCCAAAGCGTGGACTTATGATTGATCAATCTTAAGACATAATGGTTAGATTAGTCATACATCAATCAGCTCAATCCTTATCATTAACTACACGTACCAATTGTATTAGTTGGTCCTCTATATCGTTGCTTAATGAATTAGTTGGTCCAATACATCGCTACTTCATTAATATATGAATGTGTGGATGCGTTGAAAGCTTAAGGCATAGTACCAAACTACCAATACAATAAAAATCTCAACGTCAAAATTATGAATGTTCAAATTGAAGTAACCCATCTATCAATGCTGAGATCACGGCTTCTCTTCATCTTTTTTTTTTTCCAAGTTATAATAATATGTTCCTAGTAAAGGTGCCTTTTTCCTTTGATCTAGGCCTTTTCACTTGAACCTTAATGATTTGGTATGCTTTTCACTTGATTGTTTTTAAACTAATTTGCTTTTCACTTAGTTAAATTTAATTTAAATAATTAAATGTCGAGGAATAATGTCACAACTTTTTATATTAGTTATATAAGCAAATACAGAAATAGTGCATGTGCATTTCCTCGGCCAATTTTGCCTTCAAATGTTGTTGACTATAGTACAAATGCATTATTTTTAAAAGAAAATGATTAGCCTAGCAATAATTAAAATTAGTTAGCATAAAATGATTTTTTGGTTTGAAAAAGAAGATGCACCAAATCTATATCCATAACACCATTATTGATTTGGCCATGAAGGTTTACATAGTACATACCATACACCAACCTGAGAACCATGACAACCTTTTATGTCAATCGTTCAATCTATAAGTCTATAACACCATTATTGATTAGCTACGTTTACATGTATGTTTATAATACACCAACCTAATATATACTCGTATACACAATCTTATTTTTTTTGACAAAGTTGCTGACTTGAAATTTTGTCTATATATTTAGCTCGGTGATGATATTTTTAAGACTGTAGGTCTATCCCAACCAATAATTATATTAAAAATAAAAGTTGTTACATAGTTTAACAACCTTTATGTAATAACAAATTATCTTATCGCGTACAAATGAATAATGATACAGAGTACATATTAGGGCCTGTTCCGATTGACTGAACTCAGCTGAACTGAACTGAACTGAACTTATTAATTAGTGATTTCTAACTACGGATTAGTGATCTTTGATTATTTATTGATTATTTATTACTATACATATGTGTATATACAAATGTACATATTATTATTATTATTATTAATTTTGATTATTATTATTATTATTATTTATTGATTATTATTATTATTATTTATTGATTGTTATTATTAGTATTATTATTTCAATTATTATTGTTATTATTATTATTATTATTATTATTTATTGATGATTATTATTATTATTTATTACTTATTGATTATTATTATTATTATTATTATTATTATTATTGTTGTTGTTGTTGTTGTTGTTGTTGTTGTAATAAGAGCTTAAAAGAATGAAATTTGGCTTTATATCATTAGCATATCATTAGACGTAAATTAAGAGCTGAACTGAACTGAACTGAACTGAACTGAATTTCAACGGAAGAGAACAGACCCTTAATCTAACATTTTTTGTTTTGTCATTTTGTTTTTCTTGTTTCATACTCCATTGATTTTGTACTAAAGTTCTATCATTTCTATGAGAAGAGTAATTTTAATTTTGGCAACACCAAAAAAACAAAACCCTTCTAATTTGGCAAAACCTTTCAAGAAATGAAAAGACAAATTTACCCCTCAACCACTGTGTGTAACGGTAACAAAAATAACATGCAAGAAACAACATTCATTAACTCACAACTCTCAGTCTCTCACATTCTTCCATACACGAGTCCTCCTTCATCTATACTCCACATCAATATTCATGGAAGTAAACAAAGGTTTTTTCCTCTACAAACGCACCCATGTTAAACTCGGTGAACCTGGCCCCACTACCCCAATCATATGGATTAAAAATTCAATCAGACGGTTAAAACAGTAAAAACTAACTAAAGTGTAAATAGACCACTTTCAACAGCGTTACACCATATATACCCCCTACTTTATCCTGCCACGTGATAGTTTTCTCACTTTCTTGGTACCACAAAGTAGGGGCAAAATGGGTATTTCACTAAAACGGCAACAACGTTGACACTTTTGTTCTTTGTTTAAATTTTTGGTAAAGTACCGTAAAACACTATCATAAATTTTTTATATTGATCCCAAATAGTATTATTTTACTAATGAACTCCCGTCTTCTCGCTTATTAGACAATGACACATTTCTTAACCATTATTAATATAATTCTATTGATCTTTTCTCAAGAAAAGTGATTATATCGTCGCTCTTCTACTGTTTAATACGTAAGAGTATTCATTATTGATTTAAGACTTATTTCACTTTACAAATCACAACATAATTTTGTAATCTAAGGTTCTGAAAGAATGTCGTAAGTGGTGAACGAAGTTGACTCGCTCGTTAGAGGAAGTGATCGCAAATTCGAGTAATTTACCATTTTTTTTTTTTGAAGCAAGTAATTTACCATTTTAAATTGTTGAAATTTCTAAAAGAAATGCGAGGAAGGTAAAAGTAAAACGACCACCCATGAAAGTATGAAACAGTCAATGATATGTTTTGGTGGTTAGTTTTCACACCATGTTTCCGAAAATACCCTTTTTCTGTTTATTTCTGCTTTTTAGGCCGGCAATTTTAGAGTTTTTATTAAGAAATTTCGCGTTTTTGTATTTTCAAACTGAGCGTTTTAGAGAGAGAGAGAGAGAGAGTGTGAAGAGAGGAGAGAGAAATCAAAATGAGGTGACAAAAATTTATCCCAAAAAAAAAATAAATTAAAACACAAAAATCAAGTTTTTCGGAGGATCCGATATTTTTTGTTGGGATTTTTCGGAAATTTTTCCCCTTTAATGAGGTACACTATCTTAGACTTAACTCTTCTATAATTCTTCAACTGTCAAAAAAACAACGGCATTATTGTTTTAATTTTGAAATTAATTACTTCTTAATTGCTAATTTGATGCATAAAGTTTCGATCTTGATTTCATATTCTGTGTAATCTTGCTATTAATCTTAAAATTTCGTTGATTTTAAGATTATTAAGGGCTGTTTCATTGACTTTTCAAATTTTTAAAACGGTAAAAATATAAAAAAAATCTTAGAAAAATTTAAGGTTGTTCAATGTAGAAGAAGTTTCAGAAAAAAAAAATACTGAATTTTAAGAGGGAGAAAGTAGAGAGAGAAAGCTTGGGTGGGTTGCTTTAGAGTAAAGGGAGAAGCTTTATTATTAAGATTGCTGGGATTTTTATTTATTTTTTCTTTTTTGGAAACTTAAAAGGAAAGATCAAGCAAAGTTTGATTAGTTTTTGATTTATGATTATCAACCTAATCCCATGATTATAACCTCTAAACCCCCGTGTTTTTCTGTCTCATAAATCTTAATTGTTGAATTTTGTTGTGTTTTTCCTGTTAATTTAATTAAACCCAGTTAAGAAAAAGTGAGAAAATTGCTATAATTAGTTTCCTTTTCTCTTTATTTTTTTCTTTTGTTATTTGGGTGTTAATTTTGCAGAGAATAAGGTAAAAAAGGCACTTCATTTGCTTTTATGAGCTGTTGATACACCAAATTTTAATGATGACAATGCTTTTCTTGTGAGCAATTAACTGACTTTGTTGATTTTTGGAGAATCTAAGGTTACTAAAGTGAGTTGTTAATTTTGTTGTAAATGTTGAATTTATTTCCTATTTTAGGGTGTTTTTTGCATAAGTTGTGTTGTTATGAGTGTTGTTGATTGTTGTATTATGGCTACATTGTTCAGCTTTGGGTGTTGAATGGGGGCTATTGTCGCCGAGGAGTCGAAGAATTCGGACAAGATGACCGGAGGGGCGGGCCGAGAGGAGAAGATCTTGGTGTTGGTGAGGTTAAGGCCCTTGAATGACAAGGAGGTCTCCAAGAACGAAGTAGCTGATTGGGAATGTATTAATGATAGTACCATTTTGTATAGAAATAGTCTTCAAGAACGCTCTGGACTTCCCACGGTTTATTCATTTGGTAAGGCCAAGCTTTAACTAGTAGATCATTTAAAAATCGTGATCATATGTTGATGCTTGATGCTCGATGCTCGTGTTTATGTCCTTTTTGAGGTATAGGATTGCAAGGAAATTGTGAATTTGTGATGGATATATTATGTAGACGAGTGAAAATTGTAACATGTCTAATGTATGATTATAATATTTTTGCTCATGCATTTCTCGAACTTTGACATTATAACTTATAAGGTGCAATGTTCTTGGACAAGTGACTACATTGTAATTATAATGGCTGTTTAGTGAAGAACCTGTGAGGCCGTGATTAAGTGAATTTTTTAATGATTTTGGAGGTTGATATTATATGTTTGTAACTTGTAAGTATGTGCTTGTGCTCAAATGGAATGTAAATTCTTGTATGTTTATTATTAATTTTGGTTTATCTTAATCTTGTTTGGTAGACAGGGTATATTCAGGCGATTGCCCATCCAAGCAGGTGTATGAGGAAGGAACAAAGGAAATTGCTCTTTCTGTTGTTAGTGGGATTAATTGTAAGTTAATATTCGTGTTTATACATCTACCTACACTAGGTATATATTCAGACGATACAATTCGACTATTTTTGACATTTTTTTTATTGAAAACCTTTTTTGCTCATCAGCCAGCATTTTTGCTTATGGACAAACAAGCAGTGGAAAAACATACACCATGAATGCAATTACCGAGTATACTGTTGCTGATATATATGACTATATGCAAAGGGTAATGGAAAATCGGAGTACTTTTTTTCTATCTTGGAACTTTGGATAACTAAGTCGAATGTAATGTTACTAAGATAAGCTTCTGTGGTCTTCAGCATGAAGAGCGGGCATTTGCTCTCAAGTTCTCTGCCATGGAGATCTACAATGAAAATGTGAGGGACCTTCTCAGTTCGGACAATACTCCTCTGAGGCTAATGGATGATCCTGAGGTAAATATAATTCTCTTGTACTAGAGTATAGCGAGAATGCAAAAACTGATATGTTTGCATTTTTCCAGAAAGGAACCATTGTGGAAAAGCTGACTGAGGAAAAATTAAATGATTGGAGCCATTTAAGGAAGCTTCTGTCTATTTGTGAAGGTAAAGCACAATGACTACCAATTTGATATATTTTCTCTAATATTATGTTCTTGTTTATTCAATTTTATCATGACATTGCAGCTCAAAGGAAAGTTGGAGAGACCTCCTTGAATGAACATAGCTCAAGGTCACATCAAATTCTGAAACTGGTATTATTTTTTCCTTTGATGTTTTAATTGAACTTTATTTCTTATAATTTGTGTATCCATCTCTTTATTTGTTTGTTGATACATGCAGACAATTGAGAGTTCTGCTCGTGAGTTCATAGGCAAGGGAAACTCAAGTACCCTTTCAGCTAGTGTGGTAAGCAACTCAGAACTTAAGTACCTCTTGTCTTATTTTGAAAAAAATGTTTAATTTGCTGTGTATCAGTTTCTTCAATTTGTCTAAATACATTCCTTGAGGTTGAGGTTGTCAAACCAACATGATTTTATTGGTGTTCATCTGCAGTTTTTTATTGATCTAGCTGGAAGTGAACGGGCAGCTCAGGCAATGTCAGCTGGGACACGATTAAAGGAAGGTTGCCATATAAACCGGAGTCTGCTAACACTAGGGAATGTTATCCGCAAGCTAAGGTTTCTTACTGAAATCCAGTTCTCTAATTTTCTTTTTCTTGAAATGCCTTCTGACATACCGCTAATGAGATAAACTATGTTTTAGAGTCGCTTCTTTAGTGTGATGTTTAGTGTTTAACTTTTCAGTATGGCCCTTATGGATTTCTTCTTGCCTGCTTGTCATAGTGATACTCCGTATGTTACTTAGTAGTATCCTCAATGGTTAATTGACGACTAATTTGTGGTAATGGGGTAAATGCTAGCTCTTTTGTTGCTGATAGTTAAGTTCACAGCACCTTCTGATAAAAAGTACAAGTACTTAGAAATTCTTGCTAAATTTTGTACTCCTAGGTTACTTAATCCAATCTCTCATATTTTTGTTTTTACAAAATAAATTTATTTCCTTGTGTTACTTGACGGTTAAATCACTAGTGATCGTTGGGTAGCACCTTCATTGACTGCTTATCAATCTGTACTCTTTCTTACTGCAGCAAGGGAAGGCAAGGACATATCAATTATAGGGACTCTAAACTGACTCGCATCCTGCAACCCTGCTTGGGAGGCAATGCTAGAACTACCATCATCTGCACTCTGAGCCCTGCACGTAGCCATGTGGAGCAATCAAGGAACACTTTGTTGTTTGCTAGTTGTGCTAAACAGGTGACAACAAATGCACAGGTGAATGTTGTCATGTCAGACAAAGCCTTGGTCAAACACTTGCAGAAAGAACTGGCCAGACTGGAAAGTGAGCTAAGGAGTCCAGCTCCCACATCATCATCTTGTAATTGTTCAGTGACAATCAGAAAGAAAGATCTTCAACTTGAGAAGGTAATGTTTTTGTTCTGAGCTTTTCTACGAAGGTGGTTGAGCATTCTAGCTCTATCTAGTAGACTTGGCCACTTGGGTATGACCATGGTTCGGTCGATTGGTTGGCCATCTGTATGAGCAGTTACCTGGTTTGTTTTGTAAAATAGTGAGATTTACACATTTTTTTCTAAATATTTACTCCATCCGTCTGAAATAATAGCTACTACTATTTTGGGATTTATGGACAAAGGATTGAGAAATAGAGAGAGTGTGGACAGCCCAAATACAAAGGTTCTTTTAGTAACATTATGTCTACTGATGAACGAATATACTTTGAAAATCTTCCTCTTTTTGGTACTGCAATCTAGACCAGATTAGCTAATGATTTTATATCTTAATATGCTCTGCTGCATGTGAGATTCATTTTAGTCTGTCAGGAAGCAATGTGTGTCACAGGAGCAACTATTGTCCAGGGTTAGAAAAAGAATGTATTATACTATGATGCACATTCTTATACAGTTACCTGAACGAAACCAACGATTATCACTTTTGGTCTATATGCTGTATCTACCAATTTATTATTTTTTTTCTAGCTATTGAATTAATATTGCGTTGGTCCGTTGGATGCTATAATGTCCCTTTTTTTTTAACAGATGGAGAAGGAGATTAGGGAGCTGACAAAGCAAAGGGATCTTGCTCAATCTCGAGTTGAGGATCTATTGCAAATAATTGGAAATGATCAATCATCTAATAAACAGGTAATTAGACAATAATTCCCCCGTTTTATAGTTGCAGCGCTTCTCTTTTCACATGTGCCAGTGTGTAATTTAAATCACTTATATCACTAATTATCAATAACTAACAATCTTTTTCTTTTTTTTTCCCTTTATTTTTTGCCTATTTTTTCTTCGTGAAATTACAAACTGTTTGAGATGTACATAACAATATTTTTTGTTAAGCAAATAGAGTAATTCGTTAAAGAGTGTAAAAGCTGAGTACTAGGGTATGTGAATAGTGTAAAAGTTAAGTCGTTGCAACTTAAAACAACAGGAAAAAGTAATAATATTGTTCAATATGCTAGCTGAGAGCATGCTTCTATTTCTGTGGATTAGTGACAAATCTCCATTCATTAAAAGTAAATGCACCCTGAAAATTGCTGCTTTGGTAACTAATTGTCTCTGTTTTTTTCCATCAGCAACGGCATAAACCCCATTCAAAGTGGAAAGTACCGAACAAATGGGAAGATGAAGGTTCTATTTCAGACTCAAGTGTGAACGGTCATCATCGTGTGGATGGTGTCCAAGATGAAGACGGTGAAAGTTATATTGAAGATCCATCTTCACGGGCATTAGAGCATGAAGATTATACATCTGAGATGGGTGACGACCAGTGTAGAGAAGTCCGATGTATTGAGATGGAAGGATCTGAAGCTTCAACTACGTTTGGTAATGGGCATGGAAGCAATGGCAGGAGCTCCCATCAAAATGGTTATTTGTATGGTTCATTGGAACAAAGGATCCAGGAAGTGCAAAGGTCAATTGATTCCCTTGTTAGTCCTCAACCTGAAAATCCATCTGTGTGGGATGATTCTGCCGATGCATCAAGCTCCAGAAGTATGAATTTCAGTAAGGTTCGGGGCTCTAAGGGAAGTTATTCAAACGGCCAATCTTATCCCTCTAGTAAGGAAGAGTATTCGGAGAGAACCCCTCCTAGTGATGTGGAGATGGACTACAGTGGCAGACCTGGAGAATTTAAAAGGTTTGCTGTACTAGATTATGGTGGTAACTCTGAAAAGTTGTCACGTAATGGCTCTCAGTCATCTGTTGGAACAGAAGTTGTTGACGATGTAAGATCACTGAGTGGGAACAATGTTGCTGATGAGGAGATAACAAGTGTCCAGACTTTTGTTGCTGGCCTCAAGGATGCTAAGCTTCAATATGAGAAGCAACTTGGAGACGGCCAGGTTAGCATACTGCTATTCTCAGTTGTAGTATAGTAGCACTGGTAAAAAAATACTAGTAGATCTCAGCATTTAATCATCTAATCTGCAGTTTTTTTTTCTGATATTTTCACTTTTATTTTTGTTAAGAGTTTTTCTAATCCTGCCAATTATTTTAAGATATTATTTTTGAATGGTGCTGGATGAATACATCAAAACTACCGTAAAATTTGCTAAATTAGTCCTCTACATTTTGGTGAGATTTATAATTATGTATTATTTTGTTGATATGATTAGGGACCTCCTGAATTGAGAAAGTCGTTGAGAGACGTGGGATTGGATCCCATGATTGATGGAGAAGATTCAGAAGACACTACATTGGATTGGAACTTGCAATTTGAAAAGCTTCAGAAAGCTATTGTTGAACTTTGGAAAATATGCAATGTTTCATTGGTTCACAGGACCTATTTCTTCCTTCTTTTTAAGGGCGACCCTACGGATTCCATTTATCTGGAGGTCGAGTTAAGGAGGCTTACTTTCCTAAAGGATACATTATCCCATGTTAATCGTTCGGTAGATGGTGGACATGCACTGAAATTGATTTCAAGGTTCATCTTCCTTCCTCCAATTACTTATGAATGATTGCCTTCACACTTTTTTTTTATTAGTTTTTGTAGTATGTTATGGCGTACTTCTGCTTTAGTTGAACAATATAACCAGTAATAGACTAATTTAAGGTTGAAACAAGCATCCAACTAAGTAAAATGTGTTTGGTGGTGAAACAGTGAGAAGGCACTTCGAAAAGAAAGGGAGACGCTGAGCAAGCTGATCAACAGAAGGTTCTCAAGTGAGGAGAGGAAGAGACTCTACACAAAGTGGGGTATAAAGCCAGATTCAAAGCGTAGACGAGCACAGCTTGTATCTCGGTTATGGACAGAGACAGAAGACATGGACCATATTGTGGAGAGTGCAGCTATCATCGCCAAACTAGTCAAGTTCTCAGAGCAAGGACGGGCGTTCAAAGGGATGTTTGGGCTTAGCTTCTCACCTCCAATTTTAAGGAGGAGATCATATGGTTGGATGAACAGCAAGACATCCCTTGTATGAGTATTTAGTGTATGACTTGTGTTAGTGTGTAGGTAATAGGATCTATCTATATATAGTCGAAGTTAGCCACAGATATCGTTCGATTTGATTACAGTGTTGCCCATTCTTTCCACGTTTGTAGGTGAACAGAACATTGTTTCTGTGATTCTTGTAAGCTCAAATTAGGAAGTGTATGTTGGTTTTTGGTTTTGTGCTGCTTCCTGCTGGTGATTGTATCTAACTAAGAGTTGATGAATGGGAAAGTTGTTTTAGTTACTTATTTTTCGCTTCGAAGTTGGTGTGGTGTGACATCTTTAACAAGTACAAATTATAATACTAATGGCTTGGAGTATTGTATTTCACAATATGCCACTTGATTTCTCTATTGATCAACATGTATTGGTTTATTCTTGACACTAAATGTGTTGTAGATCCACCTTGATTTCTCTATAGAGTATGCCACTTGAGTTCTCTATCAATCTTGCATTTCTTGAATTAGGCTCTTGTCAATTTTCACAGCGGGCAAGGTACAAAAGTTAAAGGTATTCGAGGGTTGTGTACCTACAAGTCATTAGACCAAGATTTTTGAGTCTGTTAATCCTAGTCTTGCTCACAATTTCCTTTTCCCACAATCCGTCCAAATGTATTATATATAGATAGACTTACGAGTAATTGGTCCTTCCTCTAGAATGTGAATTAGTGTCAGTGCACGTCAATTTATCGAAGGACATTGTTAAATAGGTTGATTTGATTTAGAAGGCTCAATACTTTAACCAACTAAGTTAGTTGACATTCACAACGCAACATTAATTCGCATATGCCACATAACATTACATATGTGTCTACTTCGTGTATATCTTTACTTGTTACACATTACATGTCTACATCATTTACCTTTCGTCATCAACAGTCGTAAAACCAAAATAAATAAATACTCCGAACGACGTCGTAGGGAGTGAAACTCACCCCATTGTTGTAGCAAATGCAAAATTTCTCTAGAAAACAAGAAAGAAGAGAAAGAGAGAAAAGTTGAAAGAAAATCCAGAGAGAGAAAATGAGCTTGTCGACGGCGTCGTTCTTTGCCAGAAGAGCCGCTCAGAAGCAGAAGGTCCGCCTTCTCTATCGCCGTGCACTTCGTGATACCCTCAATTGGGCCGTTCATCGTCATCTTTTCTACCAAGATGTATTCTCATTTTCCCTCAATCTCAAACCCTAATTTCATTCCCATTTCCCCAATTCATTTCTAGGGTTTTGATCTGATCCCTTGTTTTTAATCTATCTTGCTTTCTTTTGATCTTCTTGTTCTGTAGGCTGATGAGCTCCGGAAAAAGTTCGAGGCTAATAAAAATCTGGTACCATTTTCCTTCTCCTTTTGATACAATGTAGAAATTAGGAATTAATTTATTTTTTTTCATTAGTTAATTTTGATGGGTACCAATTGTTCAAATTAATACACAATGTATTGGATTAGTAGCTGAATTAGAGTGTATAATTGGTGACATTGACAATGGACAGTCTTTTGATCGAAATTCGAGTGCTTTTGTATTCGATAATCAGTAAATTTGGATGCTTTTGTGTAAGAAGCTGGTGCTTTTGTGATGTTAGTTTTAGTGTATTTATATAGAGAAATGTGATTGAGGTATAATTTTCGATAGCGAATAGGTTATGCAATTGCTGATTGATTCAACTTTGTGTGATTCTTACTGTGTTTTTCATTGTGTTATAGGAGGACCTTGATACAATTGACAGAATGATTGCAGTTGGTGAATCTGAGTACAATAAGTGGCGACACCCTGATCCTTATATTGGTAAGCAGTGACATAAACTGTGGTTTCTTATTGTTTGATACATGTTTTCATCCATTGATTGATTGACGTGTAACCGCGTAAGTTGTATATCAATGTCATTAATTGTAGTGTTTACGAAAGGAGCTTTCAACTTTGGAACCTTCATAAATGCAATGTATTGTAGGAAGATGCTATATTGGTTAGCTTAATGTATGTATTGGATAGGAAATTAGAAGAAGAGGATAAAAGAAACATCTTTGATCTCAATTTGTTTTGTTTTTTTTAGATTGGCGGAGCGGGTTGGTTATTGTATAAGAAATCTTTTAAATGTTTAACAGACTGTCCTAACTCGATTCTGCAACTATATTTGAAAGCATGGCTGCTTAGGTTAGTGACTGCTTGGAAAATCGTTTTAGATGAGAGAAAATTCTTTTAGCTTGTAGCATTCCACAATGTAGGTTACATCAGAACCTTAATGATTACATGTATTTTGATCCTTATCCAATTGAACCATATGTGTCAACAGAGTTTCTTCCTGTGTTTTTCTATTGCTCGCCAATTTTAACTTTGTGTCACTCTAATGCCTGGTGTGGAGTCTTAAGATAAATCTGTACTTCTGTAGTGTGCTAAATAAAATGGGTCAATGTTGAGATTTTTCCATTTGCAATTTATAAATATGCCAACACCCTTCTTTTTAAACAAGTTAATGAAGTCTTATTGCTCTTTGTATCTTATGGTGTTGTAACTTGTTGATAATGGACACTGTAACTCATGCCTTTTCAAACCCTCTGCAGTTCCATGGGCTCCTGGCGGTTCAAAGTTCTGCAGAAACCCAGAGCCACCTAAAGGGGTATGTGACAATGTGCTATATGGCTATATCCTGTTCTTTCACTGGTTGGAAAGTGTTTATTCTTTCTTTGGCACAACTATTCTGTTTTGTCTCAGGATACTCATTTCTGATTATTGACATCATATTGCTATATATTTACCCTAATGAAATGGAATGTGATAAGTGCTCTATTTTTGCATTACCAATATTTAAATTTTGTACCAACGACAGCTTGTGTTAACATGGCTTTATGTAAGTTTCAAATGTTTGCTGGTTTAAAGCTTTGTTGTCTTCATATTGTAATTAATACGAAGTATGACTACCTTCAAGCATCAACGTATCAAGCTCCTTTGGCTGATTTTAAATAAAATGTATTTTGATTCTTTTGTGGAATATAAACGCCTCTTTTTACGCATTCTAGGCTAAGAAAAACCCCTTAGAATACTCTTGCATTTGCAATCACTAGCCATGGAACTAATTCTATTTTAATTACTACCTCCAATTTTTTTTAGTTGCAACTAAAAAAAATCGGAGGTAGTATTATTTGTGGCATCATTTAGGTGCCATTTTTTACATTGGTATTGTGTCCCCCCTTTCCATTTGTGTGCTATTGGTTGTGCACGTGTGTTCAAGTGTTAGGGTGTATACCTCTTCAGTTTACTGATTTGATAAAACAACTCCTCCTTACCAAGAGTGGGGAGATTCTTTTTCTTGGTTTCTTTTGTCCCCCTTTTGGAGAGAATTACATAGAGCTGTTTTGGGCTTTGCGGTGCTGGTCTCTGTTTCAATATTATTCAATATCATCTAGCAGTGTTGAATAGTTGCCATGACTCATGAGTTAGCAACTCAATGATGTTGTCCACTTTTCTATGCTCATATAAGTTAGTTGCTTGAGATTATTTGATTATTTGGATCAATTGCTTTCTTTGTGCTCTCTTGTTTGTAAATATCTTGAATTTATTATGGTTGATTCAATTTGCCCATTTGATTTCTGATTTCTACCTTGCCTGTTTCTTAAACTCTGTCAATTGCAGATTGAGATTATATACAACTATGGCCAAGAAGAGGCCGAGCTAAAGTAGCTGCATATACTTGATGCCGTAAGTTTGGCAGTGACCCATTTCTTTCTTTCTCCTTTTTTATTTTAGTGGAAAAATTGGCTTCTGACCTGACTTTGGATTGTGTTCTTTCAGTGATTGTTAGTCTTATGTGTTTCCTTACTGGTTGATGCAGATGAGATTATTCTGCCTGTGGTGGGAAGATAATGATGAAGAGTCATCTCCTGTTTGCATTTAATTACGCTTCAAACATTTTGAGATGTTCAGTTTTCCGTTTTGAAATTTACCTAGGTTCTCTGCACTTCATGTAAACTGTTTGAAAATTTGTGCACATGAATTGTTAATCTTCTGAAGATGTTAATAATTTACCATCATGAATAAGTTTCCTCCTTTTGTTAAGGCATGATTCAGTAGCTTCTCTTATGGTAAATTGGTGATTGTGGCTCGGGATTGTATCAGACAGGGAGCACTCTCTTAATTGCTAGGATGCCGTTACTGTGTGTTGGACTTGAGCATCGAGCCAATAACTTGGTATTGAAAAGAAATGAGAAATAAGCTTGTAAATTTCAGTATATACTTAGTAGCTGGTTTGAATTATCTTACATTCTTGCGGCTGCAATTGCCACCAGGACTCAATATCGACTTGGGGCTTAAGAAGCCACTTAAGCGAAAGCCTGTTGTTACACGGCATTTAGGCAAGATTATAATAATAATAATAATGATTATATACTGTATAATAAAGGTTCATATATTATGTTCAAGAGACTATTATAAATCCATGGTTTAAAATGAGGTGAATTTTAATCATGTTGTCAATGTCTTTTGTCAACCTCCCAGCCAACCCCTTTCATCGTTGCAAGACTAACATTGTCTATTGGAAGATATACATCAACTGTAAATTTGACAATCAAAGAATTGTGGGAAGACTGCGTTGCACCTAGAGCTGTCAATTTGGGTAAACGGGTCGGTTTTGGGTCAGGTAAGAGTGGGTTGGGTCAATTCGGATTAATTCCATAACCTATGCGAACTAGTTTGAGTTGGGTCATGCTTGAGTCGGGTCATACTTCTTATCAGGTTTGGGTCGGGTTTAGGTCGGGTTAATAACAGGTCGGGTGAACAATAGATCGGGTTTAATTCGGGTTTTGACAAGTTAAAACGGGTTAGGGTAATTCTCGGGTTCGAGTCGGGTTCGGTTCGAGTCAATAATTTGCGCGTTAGAATCAGGTCAAGTCATTCTCGGGTTTGAGTCGGGTTCGGTTCAAGTCAATAATTTGCGAGTTATAATTAGGTCGAGTCATTCTCGGGTTCAATTCGGGTTCGGTTCAAGTCAATAATTTGTGGGTTATAATCAGGTTGGGTTATTTCCAAGTTGGGTCATTCTCGGATTCAAGTCGGGTAATGTTCAAGTCAATAATTTGCAGGTTACAATCAGGTCGGGTCATTTCCAAGTCAGCTCATATTCGGGTTCAACTAACTATATATAGATCATTATCATTTTTATCAAGCTAATTATTTCCTTTGACTATAATATATATGGCAATATACTAGGGAAATATAGTCTATAATTTAGAAGATAATTATCTCCTTCGACCATACAACAAATATATATTATATTTAACTCTTAAATTTGAGGATGATACTCCTTTCTTTTGCTGGCCTGGACCGACTTAGTCTCTCTAGACAAAATGCTTTGATCAACAATAATAAGATGGTCTAAATTGCATTTAAGGTGATTTGAAATCGCGCCAGGAATAATTTGAGTTGAATTTAGGGTCAATAATAAGTTGTGTTAATTTCAAGTCGAGTTAATAACAAATCGGGTTGAAATTTTGGGTCAGGTAAGTAATAGGTCTGGTAAAATTCGGGTCGATCAATAACAAGTCGAGTTGAATTTGGGTCAGGTTAATAACAAGTCGATGATTTCGGGTCGGGTTTGTAACATGTTGGGTTAATTTCGGGTCAGGTTAGGAACGGGTCAGGTTAGTAACAAGTCTAAATAAATTCGGGTTTTGACGGGTTAAAACAAGTTTAGGTCAATTTAGGTTCAAGTTGGGTTCGCTGCAAGTTATTTAAATTGGCCGTTTTAAACCGTTAAATCGGTGCAAGTTGTAAATCGATAAATTGGTCGTTTAAAGGCAAATTGGATGGTTCCACCCACCCAATTGGACTCTCTGAGGATATTAGGGACCATGGTAAATATTTTGTCAATTTTTATTTCCGGGCGAATAAAAGTCAAAAAATTCCAAAATTGAAGGCTAAGATCCACACTTTTTCAGAAATTTTTGAGGTTTTGAGGCCCGGTGTCGAAAAGCCTTAAAACTTTAGGTACATCTCGAGGTCATATAATACCGTTTGGAACCATATATAATCATTATATGTTGTCATAAATGTTCGTGGTAGACTTGATTTAATGAAATCGGTGCAAGTTGTAAACTGGTAAATTGGCCGTTTAAAGGGAAATTGGATGGTTACATCCACCCAATTAGACTTCCAGAGGGTATTAGGATCCATGGTAAAAATTTAGACAATTTTTATTTCTATGCGAAAAAAGTCAAAAAATTCCAAAATTAAAGGCTTAATATCCACGCTTTTTGAGAAATTTTGGAGGTTTTAGGGCCCGGACTTTAAAAGCCTTGAAATTTTAGGAGATACATCTCGAGGTCATATAATGTCGTTTGGAACCATATATGATCATTATATGTTGTCATAAATGTTCGCGGTAGGCTTGAGTTAATGAAGTCGGTGCAAGTTGTAAATCGGTAAATTGACCTTTAAAGGCAAATTGGATGGTTCCACCCACCCAATTGGATTTCCGGAGGGTATTAGGGACCATGGTAAACATTTAGACAATTTTTATTTCCGGCAAAAAAAAAGTCAAAAATTTCCAAAATTAAGGCTAATATCTAATTTTTTTTAGAAATTTCCAAGGTTTCGTGGCCCGGTGTCGAAAAGCAATGAGATTTTAGGGGATACATCTTGAGGTCATATAATGCCGTTTGCAACCATATATGATAATTATATGTTGTCATAAATGTTTGTGGTAGGTTTGAATTAATAAAATCGATGCAAGTTGTAAATCGGTAAATTGGTCGTTTAAAGGAAAATTAAATGGTTCCACCCATCCAATTAGACTCCCGGAGGGTATTAGGGACCATGGTAAACATTTCGACAATTTTTATTTCCAAGTGAAAAAAAAGTCAAAATATTCCAAAATTAAAGGCTAAGATCCATGCTTTTTGAGAAATTTTGAAGATTTAGGGCTCGGTATCGAAAAGTCTTGAAATTCTAGGGAATAAATCTCGGGGTCATATAATGCCTATAAGAACCATTTATGATCATTATATATCGTCATAAATATTCGTGGTAGGCTTGATTTAATGAAATCGGTGCAAGTTGTAAATTGAATTTTTTTTCGTTTAAGGGCAAATTTTATGGTTCCACCCATCCAATGGGACTCCCGGAGGGTATTAGGGACTATTGTAAACATTTCAGCAATTTTTATTTTCGGGCGAATAAAAGTCAAAAAATTCCAAAATTAAAGGCTAATATCCACGCTTTTTGAGAAATTTTGGAGGTTTCTGGGCCCGTTATTGAAAAGCCTTCAGATTTTACGGGATACATCTTAGGGTCATATAATGTCGTTTGGAACCATAAATGATCTTTATATGTTGTCATAAGTATTCGTGGTAGGCTTGAATTAATGAAATCGGTGAGAGCTGTAAATCGGTAAATTGGCCGTTTAAAGGCAAATTGTATGGTTCCACCTACCCAATTGGACTCTCGTAGGGTATTAGGGATGGCAAACATTTCAACAATTTTTATTTTCAGGCGAAAAAAAGTCAAAAAATTCAAAAATTGAAGACTAATATCCACGTTTTTTGAGAAATTTTGAATTTTTCGGGGCCCGGTGTCTAAAAGTTTTGAAATTATAGGGAATACATCTTTGGGTCATATAAGGTCATTTGGAACTATATATGATCATTATTTGTTGTCATAAATGTTAGTTTGTGGTAGGCTTGAGTTGATGAAATCGGTGCAAGTTGTAAAGCGGTAAATTGGTCATTTAAAGGCAAATTGGATGGTTCCACCCACCCAATTGGACCCCGTGGGGTATTAGGGACCATGGTAAACATTTAGAAAATTTTTATTTCCGTGCGGAAAAAAGTCAAAAAATTCCAAAATTGAAGGCTAATATCCACGCTTTTTGAGTAATTTTGGAGGTTTTTGGGCCCGTTGTTGAAAAGCCTTGAGATTTTACGGGATACATCTTAGGGTCATATAATGTCGTTTGGAACCATAAATGATCTGTATATGTTGTCATAAGTGTTCGTGGTAGGCTTGAATTAATGAAATTGGTGAGAGTTGTAAATCGGTAAATTGGTCGTTTAAAGACAAATTGTATGGTTCCACCTACCCAATTGGACTCCTGGAGGATATTAGGGACCATTGTAAACATTTCGACAATTTTTATTTCCAGGCGAAAAAAAATAAAAAAAATTCCTAAATTTAAGGCTAATATCCACGCTTTTTGAGAAATTTTAAAGGTATCGGGTAAAGCTGTCAATTTGGTTAAATAGGTCGGGTTTAGGTCGATAAGAGTGGGTCGGGTTAATTCGGATCAATTCCATAACCTATGTGGGCCGAGTTTGGGTTGGGTCATGCTTTAGTCGGGTCATACTTTCTTATCGGGTTTGGGTCGGGTTACATTCGGGTCGGGTGAACAAGGTTTAATTCGGGTTTTCACTACTTAAAACGGGTTAGGGTAATTATCGGGTTCGAGTCAGGTTTGGTTCAATTCAATAATTTGCGGGTTAGAATCAGGTCGCGTGGGTCATAAAATCAGGTTGAGTCATTTTCAAGTTGGGTCATTCTCGGATTCATGTCGGGTTTTGTTCAATCAATAATTTGCGGGTTATAATCAGGTTGGGTCATTTTCAAGTCGAGTCATTTTCGGATTCAAATCGGGTTATGTTCAAGTCAATAATTTGCAGGTTACAATCAGGTCAGGTCATTTTCAAGTTAGGTCATATTCGGGTTCAACTAACTATAAATAGATCAGTATCATTTTTATCAAGCTAATTATTTCCTTTGACTATAATATATATGGCAATATACTAGGAAACTATAGTCTATAATTTAGGAAGATAATTATCTCCTTTGACCATACAACAAATATATACTATATTTTATTCTTAAATTTTATGTTCCTTTCTTTTGCTGGCCTGACCGACTTGGTCTCCAAAGACAAAATGCTTTGATCAACAATAATAAGGTGGTCTAAATTGCATTTAAGGTGATTTAAAATCGGGTCAAGAACAATTTGGGTTGAATATAGGCCGGGTCAATAACAAGTCGTGTTGATTTGGGTTAGTAACAGATCGGGTTAAATTTTTTGGTCGGGTCAGTAATAGGTCTGGTAAAATTTGGGTCGGGTCAATAACAAGTCGGGTTGAATTTGGGTTAGCTTAATAACAAGTCGGGTTTGTAAAAGGTTTGGTTAAATTTGGGTCGTGTTAGGAACGGATTAAGTTGAATTCAGGTCAGGTTAGTAACAAGTCGGGTTAAATTCGGGATTTGACGAGTTAAAACGGGTTTGGGTTAATTTCGGTTTAGGTCTATAATTTACGGGTTACATTCGGGTTGGGTCATCTCCAGGTCAGTTCATGTTCGGGTTCAGGCCTCACATACTCGGGTCAACTCGGGTATAGGGTTGGTTTCAGGTCGGGTTTGGGTCACCATTTTTTTGGGTTCAGATGGTTCGGTTAATAATCGTGTTTGAGTCGGTATTTCGGGTCGGGTCAACTTTGATAGCTCTAGTTACACCTCTTTGTTCTTATTTTTTTATCTTAATTTAACTAATTTTCAAATAACCCTTTATTTTAATTTGACTGATAAAAACCAATAATTAAGGGCTTGTTTGGCATCATTTTTAGTTTTCAGTTTCCTATTTTTTTTTTAAAACTAAAAACCAAAAACAGGAAACAAGAAACTAGAAAAAGGTGTTTCCACTTTTCTGTTGTCAGTTTTCATAATTATCATGATTTTAATAAGTCTAAATAATATTTGATTCATATGTAACATATATAATGTACTTTTAAAAATCAAATAACCAAAAAATAGAAAATTACAGCGACGCCAAATGAACCCTAAAGTTGCAAAATGTAGAAATTAAAGTACATGTAGTTTTGCAGTAATAAAGTGAAAGTCTACCCTTTGATCAACTTTGTTGAACGTTTAACCTTTTCCTAAAAGAAAAGAGTTGGTATTTAAATTGTTCTTAAAAGGATAAAATTGAGATTTAAATAAATCAAATTTAACAATTTGAAAAGGCAAAGGTTTGTCCAAGGTAGTATTTACCACATCCAAAACAATTATCTTTAATGAGAACATATTAACCTTCTCTATTCGTCTTAATAATATCAAACTTGCCCGATTGTCTTGATAAAATCTATAACTATTACTAAAACAAAACATTGCTGACAACAATTCTCCTTAAAATTGTATACGTGTCGCTTTCTTATGAATTTTTTCCCGCTTAAAACCATTGATGATGTCATTTTTTTTTGTATTAGGTTTTTTTTTTGAGTGATACTTCATAAACAAGCTAAGTAAGTTCTTTCAACAATTTTTATCTAGAAAATCGAAGTATAATAAATGGAATTGCTACTATATTCCTTTCTTTTGATTTAAAGATCTATCATTTTCTTTTCTCAATTCTTTAACACTAGTGTAATATTCAAACATGCGAAAAATTGTTGAAATATTCAAGCTATATTTCTTTTAAGAAATCTCCTTCCACTGAATTTATGACAAAATTGTAAAGATTCATTGTTATAAGATATCTATACTATAATTATTTTATTAAAACCGTGCATCGCACGGGGATAATCTAGTTTTCACCTAAATCAAAATCCTTAAAACCGGATTTTTTCAAGGTTACCACCTTCGTAAATAATTGACAAGTGCTTCCTTCAGGTTAATAGCTACGATGCTGTCATATAATGGCATCACATTAATCCAACAATAATAACCTAATTAGCAAAAAAAAAAGTGAGTTACTATATTTAATCAGAGGTGATGTAACCCGTTAATACAAGATTGGACAACGTAATTGGTGGCTTAGTGCTACTCCATACTCAACTCAACTTCCACCAACCTTCTAATGGAATTTCCCCCTAAATTTAAAAGTGGAATTAGTCAAAATATATGCAACTTCCATTTTCTGGGTTTGGAAGGCACGAACCCATTTTCTCTCTCCTATTTTTTTGCATTTTATGTGGTTCTCTAACTGCCAGATCATTAAATCTTATAGTAATATAACAGAATTTGTCAACCCATTTTATTTTATTTTTTATGTAAGAGAACAAGTCATATTACTCCTCTTAACAAGCCTATTATGTCTCCTACTAAGTGTTAATTATTAACCTTCTTCACACGATCAACCAAGTAAGTGGAAGAATAAAGCTGATTATGACATCCAAAACTCAGATTTTATATCTTTGATCATCATTAGCTATAGGCTGTTAATTGTTAAACCTATTTAAGCGACGAAAATCCGAGTGACAAACGTTAAAATAACCTTCCTCTGATCTTTCTCTCTTGTGTTTCATCTGAGTTACAGCAGAAGATACTGGCAATGGAGGATGATGAGGCTAAGAGAGGTAGAAGAGGTTGTACGGATACTGTTCGGGTTATTGGGTTTGTGCTTCCTTTGGTCATGCTTGTATGGATGGTCCATATGGGATATAGACTGACAACTGAAACGAGAGATGATGAAGGTGGTAGTTTTGAGGGAAGCTACATAGCTCTTTTGTTCGGGATTGTTACGGTAGTTTTTGGTTTGATCTATTTCCTCGTCGGGTTGACCATTGTTGCAGAATTAGCTCAGGACTTGGTAGCTTGGGCGGACAAGGAAGAAGACGGAGAAATAATCAGAAACCAAGGTAATTACAATTTAATTTTATAGTATTAATACAGCATTGCTTAATCAGAAACCAAGGCAATATACAACGCCATCAGGAATGTTAAAAAGAGTTACGCTAATTGGCTAACAGTTTGGCATACAACGGGACAAAAACTCTTTCATGTCTTACTCTATCTCTTTCATTGACTATAACAGTCTCTAGTTTGGTCCATAAGGGCATTTTGGTAGATTTGTCAGCATTCGTCGCCTAAGTTTTTAAGCAAATACCAAATACACATCTTTTGCTATACGAAACAGCTAATCAAGACAAGCATATTGGAGTAAGAATAGAGGGCCTAAATCCCTAAGCAAAATTTCTTATTCTCTACAATTCATACAATATACTTATGAACACATTAGCTCTGTTTTCTTGAATGCATGATACAGTGTAATAGTCTAACTATATGTAATACGTGCACAGAAAAGGAGCAGAAGACCATTTGTCAGATCGTTATACAAGTTTTAGCCACCATGATTTCAATGTTCATGCTCACGTGGACAATATACTACGGATATAGGCTAGCAGCAGAAGCACAAAGGGTTGTCATGTACAGTCACTTGGCATTCTTGATAGGAGTAATTACCATGGCTTTTGGCTTCATATACTTTATAATTGGGATTGCTCTAGTAGCAGATTCTGCACTACATCTCTCAGGAAGATTACAACAAGATGTCTCTGAAAGTGATCTATCCTTAGGCAAAGACATAGAAGCAAGTCTTCTGGTGTAATAGGGCAACCACCAGAGAAATACCACTGACTACATTTTTTTGTTCTGGCTGCTAACAAGCTGACACCCTATATGGTGCGATTATGTTCACCATATATGGATAACGCCAAAGTGCAGACTTTACAATCCTGAAACAGGATTAAGCAACAACTCTTGTAATAGGCTCGACTGGTGGGAGAGGAAGAAGAAACAGAACATGCAAGTGATGCATCCTTTTTTGAGCAAAATTTCAAGACACGAACACAAGAAATGCATTTGAGAAGAGCGATTCCTGGGCATGTTCCATTTGACTACAAGATCACAACTAACTGATCAAGTTTTGACTCTAGACAGATAATACAGTAATTCTAATATGAAAATAATTTAGGATAGAAGCATGACTTTAAGCCATTAAATTATATACAGTTAATGTTCTTATATTGTAAGTTTCTCCAAATCATGGTATTGTATGCTGGATATTGTCGTATTTAAGTATGTTTCTCCATATGTAAGCTAGCTATACTCCTAGAGATGAACTGATAAGATTCCTCTAAGCAAATTCTAAGTTTCTACTTTCTAGGCAGCATTACAAAATTGTCTCTCAATATCTGATCACATCTTCTGTTTGCAACTGACTCACCAATTCAACAGAAATTAAAAACAGCCACCTTTCCCCCAACAACACTTATAGCTAGATCCTGAATGTGAAGCTTACACAAAACCATCATTGAACTCACAATAAGAAACCTAATGCACTGCATTGAACAGGATTCTACAGAAAGCACGCCTCACACACGAAGGCTCCCATGTAAGGCTGTAAGCTCTCAATTCGTAGATTTGTGATTGGTACCTCCCTTGGTTGTTCAAAGGGAGTGCTATTATGAGGCATAAACCACCCCAGACCCATCGCCACATCCTCCCATCATCCACCATAAATGCCACCTCCCTTTACCACTTCTGAAATACAACGAGAGTGAGGGATAGCTCAAGTGGTTAGAGCTCCCCTTCCGGTTCCAAGAGATCTTGGGATCGATTCTCATCACCCGCCCTTGTGGCTCTCTAAGCACAAAACATCTGAAATACAACAAATTAATCTATATACTCCTAGAATCGGAATCACCGGACACAATCGAGGTTCTTAAGAACGAACATGGAGTCCCTCTAATTTCATAGCCAATGCCAAATAATAGACTTCCTAAAAATCCTAATCTATGTATAACTCTATGCTTTCAATCGCCAAGTTCCACATACTATTAATGCACACTTCACTAATTGATATATTGTTTTCAGCTTAATATACTATCAAAAACCATAGAAAATCCTCTAAACAATCCAGCCATCACACAATACCAATCAAAATTAAACAAAAACCCAATAATAAAACCAAACGAACTCACATTAACAACCACCATATCATAACATAAATACTTGTATTTCAAATACCAAGCACAAAAATTCATATTACCATTGATCCAAAATAAAAAAATTCACAACAACCCAATTCAAACATAGTAACATATTATTAAATCAACATCCATAATCAGCAAATATCAGCTGAACTATAACGAAAAATAACAAAAATTAGATAACTTTGAAAGGAAGAGGCCAAGGAGTGTTACTGGGAACTTCAAGTTTGTCTTTAAACCTCTGAATCATATCTTTCTTCTTGGGTCTGGAATTGCCATAAGAACCCTTGAATCTCTTTCCTCTCTTCGTCTTCTTGTCACCTCTTCCGCACACTATTGCCTCTGGTATTGATGAAGAAGACGCCATTGATGAATATGAAGAAATTGGGGAAGCTGGAATCTGATGGGTTGACATTATTCTTCTTGCAATTGAGCTGCATAACTGCTTCATCGCCATTTTTGCTCGGTTTTTTTTATGGGATTTACAAATGGGGTTTTCAATCGGATTTTGGGGTTTTAGGAATTTTGATTGAATATTATTTTTTTATTTAAGATTGAAGATTGAAATCGGTTGTATTGGATTTGAGGCTTTGAACTTGATTTGGGTTCAATTTTGCCCTAAGGTTTTGAAACTGAGCCCATGTTAGCACTCACCCAATTGACCCAATGTATTTTTTAATTTTTTTATTGTTTTTGTGAAAGATTGACCCAGTGAATTTTTTTCCTTTTTTATTTTTCTCTTTTCATTGAAAGAAATTTGCAAATATTATTACTCTATATCATAAAATGATAATCATTGCTATGGCCTGATAAATTTCGGGTTTAGACAATATTCTTAGTCTTAAGTTAGAATCTGGCTCGAAAATCATAATTTAATAAAGCGAGTTTGGGTATGAATTTTCGACTAAAGTCTGGCCTAACCCAATCTTTGACAAAATTTATTTCATTATTTCTATCTATATAGAGTGTATTTCTAATTTGGGATGTCTCAAATCGAGCTTTTGTTGTATTGAGACATTGAGTTTCTTAAATTGTCAATTTTATCATACTATTCTAAAATTCTTACTTCGTATTTATTTTATTTTATTTTTTATTTTTTTTAAGGTATGGTGTTTGTGTTGTTGTGATAAGAACGCTTGTTCAATTGTAACTATTGTGCTTACATATATCATCAACCATATGAGTAGTTATGCTATTTAGAGCACAAATTCCTTTTTTTTTTTATTTTTTTTTTTGACACAAGAGCGCAAATTTCTTATAGAAGGTATTTAATTATTTAAGTAATATGACCTATACATAGTGAGATGAAAAAGAACATACTAGTACAAGTTTTAATTAGTTTATGTACCTTTTAATTGTCAATCAAAGCACCATAAAGATTTTGGCTTGGTATTTGATTACCACACCACCTATAGCTCATTTGCAAAATAATATTATTGAAAAATAATTTTAACAACCTTTAATTTATCAATAATACTCGTATAAGCTTTCTAAGAAATATGTAATCATTGACATTGATGATACAAATTACAAAGTACTCCGTACTAGGCAATAATTACCCACTGATTGAAAGTCACAACTCACAAATTATCATGTCCAAATCGTGAAGCTCTACTCAGTCACAAGCTAATTGAAATTGTTAAGTCTTTGTCCTTTAAATCCCTATTGATAAATGAATCTAGCTTCTTTTCAAAAAAAAAAAAAAGAATCTAGCTTGGTTTTGTATGTTGTAATACCATTAGGCCTTCACTTTGTCGTAGATGTCTATTTGCCTTTTTCTTTTCCCGGTTATGGCAGAAAAATTAAAAGACACTAATAACATATGGAGTACTCCTGAGTCCTCACCCAAACTCTTATACAACCGAAATCGTACTCTCTTACATCAACCATGAATTCCAACAAGTTGTTCATGACATCCAATTGTCCAAATCATATGTGATCCCATAAGATAGACAACACTTATCACCTCATTCTTTTTAAATATGTAACAAAATTAAAGCAAGATGAAATAAAAATTTGGTTCAATTAATCAAAGCATCATGAAGTTCCAATGTCCAGTCAAAAGAATCCTCCTTTACACCAATGAGGTCAAACAAGATCATCCCACCAAATCTCAATTATACAAATTTACCACAATTTACATTTTCATATTTCATACAGAAAGGAAAACACCTGCTATAACAGATCACATGTTTTACTGTCTTTGTAATTTTGGCAAAACTTTTTTTTTTTTTTTTGTTTTTTAACGGTCAAATTAATCCTTTTCTTACGTGAGCATAAAACATTATCTTTTTTTTTTTAAATTTATTAAAATTCATATAATATGAAAATGATATCTGAAATAATTAATTTCTGACAATTTTATAATGAGCTAATACATAGTTTTTGATCAGCAACATTATCAGAATTCACCAGAAAATTCCTCAGAACTTGTTTGCCTGCCATTTGACACCTTTTTTGGTTCTCCAATTTTGGCTAAAATTTTATTTCAGCTAATTTTAAGCAAAAAAATGGTACAGTATCTTTTTTATTTTTATTTTTCTTTTTTTACCCAACATTTTCCCCTTTTCAGATTTCTGAATTTCTGGCCTCATAGTATTGGCATGCCATATTAATTATAGTACGATCCAATGACGTCCATCTCCTCCTTTTTTTTCATGTTCATTGAGTGAAAATTACTGTGTTACACTAATCAATTAATAGCTAAACTAATCAGATCTTGCTCTAATTATGATTGAATTTAACTTATTTAATCTACACAACATTGATAGAATTACTAAGTAGTAATAATCAATTAATCATTATTCATATGAGTTATATCTTTGCACTAATAATCATCTTATTATCAATCATGCATCAATTCATAATATTCAAATCTTTCAAGATAGCTAGATTAATGACGACTTTGTATGTAATCAATTGATATCAATAAACATGAAGGTCACAAATTCAAATAAAAGTGAAATGAGGAATTGGTTAATTTACTATTTCTATAACAATCAAATATTGTTTACCTACTTTTTTTTTTTTTTTTTTTTTTTTGTGTGTGTGTGATGATCTTCATTTAATTTGCTACCAATAATCATTGTGTAAATAATTTGCTAATTAATATCAAAGCTTAAAAATATTAAACAAAAAAGAGTCAATAAATACCATTTGCATATAACACTAACATAATTGAAATAATTACACACATTTAACAATATAAAAGAGGTTATATTACATGCATAATAAAGGCTACTAATAATAATAATACCATAATAATATGCTTAATACCATATATAATATGAGTTTATATTTACACAAACTAAATAAAAACCCATCTACTAAAAACGACTAATACAAGTATTATGCATTAATCTTCTATATTAAAGTTAAACATTAGTACTATATTGCCATAATATGTGTAATTAGACTAATTACTAACTAGTCATCCTAGTATAAGTAACTAAAAACAGATATAGCTAATAGATTAATTAGAGCCAAAGTGCACCAGCCTCTTTAAGGAGAGGAACAAGAGAACCATTAATATGGGAAGCCATAAGAGACTCAATCCCACCTAAAAACTTCCCACCAACAAATATCGCCGGAAGCGGGTGATGCTCACCGGAGAGTTGGTACAACACAGCTTGAATCTCGGCGCTACCCTTGTCTGAATCGAGCTCGATAACAGTAGGGCCAACGCCGAGGCTAAAGAGAAGGCGCTTCGCTACATGGCACATACAACAATCACTTGAACTAAATACCACCACCGCGCTTTCGCCTACCACGGCCTTAACTTTGTCGTACATCATAACCATCATACTGTTGTTGTTGTTGCCAATTTCTTGAGTCATTTTTAGCTCTTTTACCATTGCCATTATTATATGTTTGTTAGTGAAGTAGTAGTAGTGAGATGGTTTAGGAGGTATTTTGGTAGAGAATGTTTTGATAGAGGGAGACAGTCATGATCTTTTTATAGAGGAGAGTTGTACAATACAAGTAGTTTATTTGAATTTTTTTTTTAATCAAATTCAAATGTCAAGGGTAGAGAGGTAAATTACATGTATGTCTAGATCTAATGTTTACCTTATCCTAAATTCCTAATTAACTTAGGGTTTTCTTAACCAATTAAGGGCAAAACTACAAAGCATTTTGAATTGATGATTATGTTGCAAAAAGTATTTAAATTATGCTTTTATAAACATGGTGAATATTTGAATTGGTGCGCTTATTATTTTTTAGGTTTTGGTTTTGTGAAATTGCAAAATTAAAAGCAA